CAGTGTGGGTAGGGCTGGGGCTGGACTGTGGAGGCCCAGTGTGGGTGGGGCTGGGCTGGACTGTGGAGGCCCCATGCACCATGCAGAGGACTGAATGCTTAGTGTCCAGCCAGCCACTTTGAATGTTGGTGTTCAGGACCCATAATGAGGCCTGTGTTTTCACATGGTGACTTATGGTTAGGCCTGGCCCTGACCTTTGCAGGGCCTGGACAAGAGGACTAATGGGAGTGTGTACACAGCACAGCTGAATGTTGTGGAATTATAAATCCAGGCAGTGAGCTGTTAGGAAAGGATACACCAACTTACCTTGACAAATACTCCTTATGGTGAAGAAAGAAAACAGTGTGTAAAACCACTCATGCTAAATAACTAAGAACAGTGCAAATTTAAAAGTTATTTTGTATTCCATCAAAAGACTATTAATTTACCCCTAGGAAATGCCAGGGCGATGGCACCTGGGCCAAGTGGGAGGAAAGAAGGAACGGTCCACTTAGCCTTGGCTTCCAGTGGCTGTGGGATCTATAAATTAAAACTCCTTTCTCTGTATTACTGCCAGGGACTCTGTCCACCACCCATTGTCCCTTCTCTGCCTCTAACACCAGGTATTAGGTTCCAAGGCCATCTAGTCTGAGCATGGGTGCAAGCACTGGGGTCCTGCCCTCCCTGCCCTCCTTCCTTCCAGACCTCCAGGGGCCATGGGCCCTCCAGCCTGTAGGTCCGAGCTCCCTCCTTAATTAACAGCCTTTGGCTGCCCCTTGGACTGGAGGTCCACCCACATTCATGGCACTATCAGTCCTGAAGAAAGGCCCACATGGGGTGGAGAGGTGGCTTCTCTGCCACCAGGGCATTCTGGGTGGAGAAGAGTGGGGACCCTGGTACTCACTAGAGGGTCTAAAGGGAGAGAGAGTTTGGGGGTAATTAAGCCAGGCCTGCAGGTGGTGCTACTGAGAGAGGAGGGGTGTGAACTCAACAGGTGGGGTGATGAGTGAACTGCTGTGTTCAGGAGGATTCTAGAAGGACGCCGTGATTGCCCTCCCATTTGAGGGCACGGTGTTTGTTAATTGGATATGGGTGAGGAGGTAGTTAAAGTTTTCCCAGTGCAAAGTTGTTGAGATGATGATTTGAATTCTGATCAATGGTTTGTTAAAATGCAAACCTCAGGCCTCATCTACTGAATCAGAATCCCTGATGGTGTCCTGAACATCTGCATGTCAGAGAGGTCCTGAGGTGATTTAAAGACACATCCAGAACATTTTGTATTTTATGACACACTTGAACCTTTAGTTAAAGTTTCACAGCACATTGAAATTATGTTGATTTTTAAAAAAGTAAAAAAAAATTACTGTGCACTTTGAATGTTTTTCAAAAATAAGTAATGATCTTTAAAAATTTTCTTGGCACACTTAAGATCCTTTCAGGGCACACCAGGTGCTATGGCACACGGGTTGAACATCTCTGCCCTGCAGCGTGGGAAGTGTGTTGTAGGTGGCTGAGGAGTGAACTCTGGGGCTCACCAGCACTTAGGAGGAAGGGAAGTAATCAGCAGACATGGGGACAGTGGCAGAGTGTCCAGTGGAGGAGTAAGTGAAGGAAGGGAGGGGACAGGGCTTTGCATTTAGCATTAGGAAGCTCCAGTGAACCCCAGCAAGGGCAGTGGCCGTGACTTAGGTGGGGACTATGTTGGGAGGTCAGGAAAGGAAGAGACAGGACGTAGGCTATAGTCTGTCCTTGGTGAGCTTAGATCTCAAAGCCAGAAGGAAGAGGGCTATCAAGTGAGCTGAGAAGGAGGCTTCAAAGCAGGCTCTGAAGCACTTACATGCCAAGGGGAAGGGGAGCCAGTGGACGCCAATATTAAGGGCAGGGCAGAAAGGCATGGCTGATACGGCCTGGGTTCCGGGGAGATGAGGGATGTATGTTAGCCCCTGGCTCAGTGCAGGGGCTGCCCGGCTGGCCGTGGCCTGGTGGGGACAAGATGAGGGGCCCAGGAGGGTAACACTTGGTGAGTGTGGTGAGAGTTGTAGTGAGAGGGGTGGAGGAAACACAGGGGAGGGGACGAGGAAGGGCTTGCCAGAATTGGGAGGAAAAACGGGAACATGGTTTGGAACCTGGAATTGGAGGCAGAGCTGTGTATGAGAAGGATGGAGCTGAGGACGGGGGGCAGGGGGGTGAGGCTTTGGGGAGAACGTGGGCTGGGGTCACAGCGGCAGTGCCCACAGACAGGGAGAGACCACTGACCCTGTAAAGTGGCAGGTGGAACTTTATTGGAGAGCATTTGAGAAAATGTACTTTTAGGACCAAGGAAGCTACTGGGAGTTGATCCTGCCCTCCCTCTTTGATGACTTTCCTTGAAGCTAATTTAGGTGAAGAAAGCTACCGCTTCCAAAAGTGCTCTGGTGCCCTGGCACAATTTCAAAGCAATCTTCTTTCCCACTCAGTTAACTACATTTCCCCAGGAAAAAAGAAATCTCTGTCAACGTAACATCCTTTAACAGGGTTCCTGCTGGCCGGTCCCTGTAGCTGCCGTGCGGCTGGGAGTGTGTTACTATTGATTGCAGGGCCAGCCTGCTAATTGGTTTGCGCCCGAGGTATAGACAATGCCGTCTCTAGCGGCTTGTGTAGACGGCCCAGTCACAGGGTTAATTCTGCTTGACAGCACACCGGCAGCATCTTGAGAGTAATTACCCGACAGAAGTTTTCCCACAGCTGAACCGAGAGCTTCAAAGGGTTCTGAATTTACAACCAGTGTTAACCTATATCTGAGACATGATGTTCCCACAAGGCCCCCTTCTTATTAAATGTATGGGGTTACTAGGTTCATTTGCTGTGTGCTAAGACTTTAGCAAAAAATTACTTGGTGTAGAATAATTTAAAATCTTTAATAATAAAGAGGATAATTATAAATTTGGTTTGTTTTGCATTATTATAATACTGAAACAAGTTACTCTGTGAACATCAGGCGCTTTTTACAAACAATTTATTCTCTTCCTCTCAGAAATAAGTTTAAATGGTTAATATCTTTTCCACACTCTGCTGCCCATATTGATACAGGCATGTGTGAGGGGGCCTCGGCCAATGCATTTAAAATGGTTAAAATAAAATTTACATTTTAGAAAGCTGTTTTACTTCTTGACCAATATACTGAAATCTGTAACTATGATACCCCTCGCCCTGTAAAATAATGGTTCTTTCACAAACAGTTTTTATATTGTAAAAAATTTCTTTCACTTTGCAGGTCAGAAACCAAATTTGATTCCGGTTCAGGTATGTGCATATTAATAATGCTATTCTGAGTATATTTTATTTACATTATTCTCTGTGGAGTAATTCGTCAGATCAAGGGCCATTCTGATTTTAAATGGGCTGGCTGGGCCCCTCGCACCCTGAGTCTCGCCTCAGAGCGGGGCTCCCGTCTGCTCCAAACCATGATGTGAGATGCTCACTCTGGGCTTCTGCGCAGTTCTGCGGGACGCATGGCGTGACCGCTGAGGGCAGTCTTATCTGAAAAGCAGAAGTAGACCTGTCCATACTTACTGCTCAAAACTGTATGATCTTCTCAGTGGATATAGCACCCTGAATAATTGGAGATTTATCTGCAAATGGTTTGTCATCAAATGTGGGGGGTGCATTTAATCAGCAGACTTCAACAGTTCCAGCTTAGGGAAACAGACATTTGTCTATGATGTGTTACTTTTTTTTCAAAAAATGTTTTACTGGCACAACAGAAAATTAAAGTCACTTTAGGTCATTATTTTGTATCTATTAAGGCAAAATTTACATTCTCACCAACAGCAGCATATCAACCTCAATAGGTTTTTTTCTGACGAATGTATGATCCTCTGGGTTGATGAAGTCCCTTATGCCACTTGCTGAGATTTATATACTTAAGAGTTTCTGAAGGTGTTTACAATTAAAGTTCAAAAATTGCCTCATTTTTGATATAAAGGAGTTAGGCTCTTTGGTGGACTGTTAATAGATAAACATTCGTTTTTAATTCCAGGAGAAAATAATTTACAGATAAGTATGTAACTTGAGTTTAAAAGTGATATTTTTACTATGGTTTGAGTTTCATTGTATTTTAACTTAAAAAACATTTATACTTGTTATGGCCACAAAAGAACAAGTGCTATATGTTTTTTTTTGATAGCGATGTTTAAGGAGACAACACTTTTTCTTCCTCATAAACTTTTATTATCTAACTTTATGAATTTAGTGAGACTTTTTTTTTTAGAGACAGAGTCTCATTTTGTCGCCTTCGGTAGAGTGCTGTAGCATCATAGCTCACAGCAACCTCCAGCTCTTGGGCTTAGGTGATTCTCTTGCTTCAGCCTCCTGAGTGGCTGGAACCACAGGCGCCAGCCACAACACCTGGCTATTTTTTGTTGCAGTTTGGCTGGGTCTGGGTTCGAACCCACCACCCTCAGTATAGGGGGCTGGTGCCCTACTCACTGAGCCACAGGCACCACCCTAGTGATACTTTTTAACTGTGAAGTCTACGCATTTTAGTTAACAAATTTATTTGAGAACCATGACTCCTGTAATCTTTCTATTCTGTATTCTGGAGCTTCTGAATCATTTGTGCTAGTTACAGTGTAAGAAAAATTTTGGGCTAGGGGCAGAGGTCTATCACTATTATCCTAGCACTTTGGGAGGCCAAGGCAAGATGATTGCTTGAGCTCAGGAGTTGGAGACCAGCGTGAGCAAGAGTGGGACCTTGTTTCTACTAAAAATAGAAAAACTAGCTGGGCAGTGTAGGGGGCATGTAAAGTCCCAGCTGCTCCGGAGACTGAGTCAGGAGGATCACTTGAGCTCAGGAGTTTGAGGTTACTATGAACTAGGCCTAAGCCATGGCCCTCTAGCCTGGGCAACAGAGCAAGATTGTGTCTCAAAAAAGCCATTTTTGGTTAACAGCATCGGGGAATAAAGGCAGGATGGTGTTATACCAGCTGTGTGACTCTTTTATGCTTTTAATCTGAGCCCAAAGGCTGAGAAGCAATTGATTCTTTGATTGATTCACAGGTGGCTCAAAATAAGGTGAAAAGTCTTTTTCTTTTTTAATAGTTAAAAATCCTTATGTATAATAAAAAATAAATGAATAAAGTGAATAACATTGATAGAGAATTAATTTTTACATAAAATGTCTTTTTTTAAATCTCTGCAGTCACCAAATATTTGTTAAGAACTCTCCTTATTTTGATCTGATCTAATTGCCTAAACAGCAAGTCAGAAACTGGTTTTAGGGTGCAGGGTCTGGAATATAGCTTTCAAAAGTGAAAAAGTCTACTAGTGTCATTTTGAAGGTAAAATCTGGAAATAGTGTACAAAACTGAAATATTAGGCAGCTATTGTCAGAGTCAGGTAATTTATGTTAAATTTTCAAAGTGTGCTACTGAGTTCCTGTACCGAAGGTTAGTATTTATCATGGAAATAGTTATAACATCTGTACAAGTACACATCTTTCACTCTCATGACCAAAGATTTTGTCCATGACTCTTACTTTTTTCAAGTCTTAAATTTTTTTAAGTGTCTACAAAGGATAACATCTGCATGTCTTTGCAAACTACAAAGTTCTCTATTCTGAAAGTCTTAGGGGGAACACTGATTAAAAGTTTATTTATTTTTTTATTTTTTAACTTAAATACATTGTGGAAAGAATTCAGATGGTTTCAAATTAAGAAACAGGTAGGTTTTTTTGTAAGCTTTTTTTTTTTGGCTTATTATTGAATGAAGGAATCATGGTGAAGGGATCATGACAAAGGAAGCTAGGAATTCACTCTTTGGCATTCCATATAATGCAAATTTTGGTTAGATATAAGGTAACATATTGGAACAATTAAATGTATGAATTTAATAGGTTCAGAGTCTCTATTCATCAAATACAGAAAATAAACTAGCTCTGTTTAATGTTGTATATAGCTCTGACAGAGTAAGATTTTTTAAATGAAGGAAGATGCCAATCTTACTAAGAAAAAAAACCTTAAAAAATAAATACTACGGTCAATGACTAGAAAGTCAAATTGCACACACACATATAGGTGTGTGTTTACATATATATTTGTGTGTGTATATATACTTTTTTCCCTAAGAAAAGTACTCAACGCATACACAGCTTACTGTACAACAATTGTAGTTTATATAAATGAGTTTTAGGCTGTGGAGTGAGATGAAGGAAAATTTTTATTGCCAGTACATATTAAAAATTTTTGGTTGTTGGCTTGGTGCCTGTAGCTCAGTGGTTAGGGCGCCAGCCACAGAAACCTTGGCTGGCAGATTTGAATCCAGCCCAGGCCTGCCAAACAACAATGCGACTGCAATGAAAAAATAGCAGGGCATTGTGACAGGCACTTGTAGTTCCAGCTACTTGGGAGGCTGAGGCAAGAGAATTGGTTAACCCCAAGAGTTGGAGGTTGCTGTGAGCTGTGACGCCACAGCACTCTACTGAGGGTGACATAGTGAGACTCTCAAAAAAAATTTTTTTTTTTTGGCTGTTGACTGTATACCAAATAATTCATCGAGAGAGCAATATGCTTTTTTCTTATCAGAATCGCGCCAGCTTGTTTTTTTGTAAACGCAAATCCATAAACAACTGCCCAGTGTTTTCTTAAAGTCAAAAAATTTTATAGTGAAAATTTTTAACCATTGACGAAAATAGATAGTCTGGTATGATGAGTACCCACCTGACCATCATCTAAATTGCATTATTATTAATAAGTGACATATTTGTTTTACTGTTTTTTTTTTACTTGAACTATTTCAAAGTAAAATACATTTCATGTGATTTTCAAAATCTAAAAATTATAGATTGTCTTGTTAAAAGGGGTCAATTAGTTTTTTGAGGTTTTCATCTGTTTTAGAAATTTGGGTCACATACACATTATTTTGGAAAGGATTATTGTGTTTCCATCTCCGAATTCAGTTACAAACTCTTTGCAGGCCAGGCACCGTGTGGCTCATGCCTGTAATCCCAGCACTATGAGAGACCATGGTGAGCAGATTGCCTGAGCTCACAGGCTCAAGACCAGCCCGAGCAAGAGCGAGATCCAGTCTCTAAAAATAGCTGGATGTTGTGGCGGGCACCCATAGTCCCAGCTACTCTGGAGGCTGAGGCAAGGGAATTGCTTGAGCACAAGAATTTGAGATTGCTGCGAGCTATGACGCCACAACACTCTACCACTCTAGGGTGGCAAAGTGAGACTCTATCTCAACAACAACAAAAAAAGACTCTTTGAAAGTTCTGTTTGAGGCTCAGCGCCTGTGGCTCAAGTGGCTAAGGTGCCAGCCACATACCTGACCTGGCGGCTTCAAACCCAGCCCGGGCCTGCCAAATAATAATGATGGCTGCAACCAAAAAATAGCTGGGTGTTGTGGCGGGTGCCTGTAGTCCCAGCTACTTAGGAGACAGAGGCAGGAGACTCTCTTGAGCACAGGAATTGGAGGTTGCTATGAGCTGTGATGCCATGGCACTCCACCCAGGGGGACAGCTTGAGGCTCTGTCTCAAAAAAAAAAAAAAAAAAAAAAAAAAAGAACTGTTTGAATTGTGTGGTTAAGAAAACTTTCAACTAGTATGCAGAGGTGCTGAATTAATTCTGATTTGAGAATCCCAGAAACGTATTGTCCTCAAGATTAATTTGGTTAAAATTTCAGCTGCCATTTAACTGTGGTCTCTGTACTGTGTTACATACTGACTAAAAAACTGTTGATTTTTCTCAATCACCTACAGTTTTTGGCTTTGCATTGAGAACAGTCAGCCCAGCTTTTTAAAGGAGTTTTAAGGTTTCCATTTTAACACCTTTTTCTAGTGGTGTGCTAATGTTGCTTGCCTGGGATTGAGGGGGGAGTCGGTGCTTTTACTAACAGACTTAAACAGACTTCCTTCTATGTTCAGAAGTAGCGAGGGGCTGTGCTCTTCTGCTCACCTCCCAAGAAAGGAAGTTAGTTGATGCTGGAGGAAGCAGAGCATTGGGTTTAATGTGGTGATTCAACATGAAAGCCGCACATCAAATCTCAGGAGAAACACACCTTTGAAACAGGCAGAGACTGTGGAGCGTATTACATGATAGGCTGTGCAGACCCCGCCCTGGAGATCAGTGCATGGAGCAGACCAGTTCCATAAAGAGCTTTGCATGATAGGCTGTGTAGACCGTGCCCTGGAGGATACTGTGCCCTGGA